ACCAGACGCGATTCGACAACGCGACGCGATTTCTCGATTTTGACTGACCGATAACTTTAATCCTGGTTTAAGTTTTTCAAATGACCGGTGTGTCGGGCCAGCCCGGCTCATGCATGAACAGGCCCCCTTGATCTGTGTATTTTGGAAAATTTGTATCCGTTGCCGGTTTTATTTGTTTTTAAAAACTGACAATTCTCGTCGCGTTGCGAATCGCATCCGGTCTGTATGGGTTTACACGTAATGAGAGGTTTTGTTCAGAGCAGGCCCGGAGAGGCTTTGTTCAGAGAAGGTAAAAAGACGAAGAGACACAACACCCCGTAGTTAATTGACTTGTTTATGCCCAAGTTGAAATATTGTTACATTCTTTTGTTTTGATTGACATGTTTACGCACAAAGTACGCACAAGCCCAAGGAAATACCTTTCTTTCGTTTGGGTTTTCCCCAGCTGAGTTTTTTTGTTCGATATATTTGCCGTCTTTTCTGCTACGAGGGCTTGCAACGCAGGCTATGTAATGAACTGAAAAATTTTGTAAAACTCAAACAAATACAGTTTTAAAGTAAATATACAATTACTCGCTGATGTATCCGTCCATACACACATCTTCAACCAGTGCGTTCATTTCTTCGTGTTTCAGATCTTCTATTTCATGTTTGTAACCACAACTACCTTCCCCAGTCCCAGATCGCCTAGTACATTTTGAAATAAAGGCTTGATATGATTTAACCAGATTAGCTTGTGTTTTCTTCAATACAGAGAATTTTTCATCCAGACCTTGATCCAAATCTGCTTGTGTAATTTTGCCGTCACCCATTTGTTTGCATAAATCATTGTATTTACAATTTAATGCCGCATGCGCCCTTTCAACTTGGTCAAGGTTTCCCATCATTGACTTACTTAGTACTGAATTGTCTTTCATAATTTCTGTGTATACAGTTTCGCACTTCTGCACATGCAGTTGAAGAAGTTCAGTTTTCTTTAAAGTCCATGCAACATCCACTACTCCATTTAAAGCTTGAACACCCCAGTGGCGTAAGGCGATGTCATTTTCAACTTCTTCTGCCTTTTGATTCCAAAAACGTTTTCTCTCTCTTTCAAATAGCTCGTCTGGATAGCATTCTTCTAACTCCTTGACTGAGTACCTTCTTATCAACGGACTATTGCTCTCTGTTCCAGTTTCTGGTTTTAAGGTTTTGTTTTCAAATTGCGATGTCGACTTAGATTTAAACCCTAAAAATCCGTCTGTCTCTATATCTGGCTTTTGACCAATCGAAACGGGGCTATTCGAACGCAGATCTTGCACAGTTTCAGATGCCTTCCCTTCTGAATTATTTTTAATGACAATTTCGTATTTGAATCCTTTTAGTTCTGTCTTTGAAATGCATTGTTTTAGGAGGTAATTACTCTCTTGTAAACACGATATTGAACACCCAAAAAATTTAAATTTAAAGTCATTGTGAACGAGTGCCCCGAGTTGTTGCTGAATTTGCTTCCGAACTTGGGTTAGGTCTTCTTCTAAATCATATTTAACGAGGAAACCAAGTGTCTGTTTAGTTTGGTCGTCGCGAATTACAATCATATTATTTCAATGCGAGTAGTCCGGCTGCCTGCGAATGCTTTTTTACAAGTAGTGCGTTTCTGTGTTCTCCAATACTGTATAAATATCACAACAAAAGTGCAAATAATACGGACGGAAGTGACGCGTAATTTATTGTTATTTTTAGCCAATAGGCGTACAGTATTTGGCTTTTATTTATTTTTTCTATATACGATTTTAACATTATTAGACTTTAACTTTTACTTATTGCAAAGCGACAAGGGCGTGGTTTTTACTAGTTCGCCCTTGTGCTTTTACTTCTCTCGTGGATTTGAAGCAAGTTGACTTAAAACCGGCCAATCAAATTCGGAAGTTTCGGATCAAATTATCGAAATTCGTTATGAAATTCCGAACCAAGTTCGCAAGTTGCAAACGATTTTGGCGGTAAATTTTAAAAACTAAACTTATTGTATTAAACTTATTCATTAATAATAAATAATATCATAATAACAAAAAGCTCAGTTTTTAAAATTATAATAAGTTTAATACAATAAGTTTAGTTTTTAAACTTACCGCCAAAATCGTTTGCAATTTGCGAACTCGCTTGCAAACTTGGTTCGGAATTTCATAACGAATTTCGATAATTTGACGCGAAACGTCCGAATTTGATTGGCCGGGTTTCCAATCAACTTGATGATCTCGTGTTTATGGTTCCCAAATTCCCACCAACTTCGCAATTGGTGTGGCCAAAGTTTCGTTCGCAGTGGCGTGCTGGGTACTATTTTTCTGGGGGGGCCAGTCGGCTGGCAACTAATATGCGCCCCTATAATATTACCCTTGATAAACGAGGGCCGAAGGCACGAGCCGAGCGCCGCAGGTGCGAGGTTTGTCTAGGGGGTCCGGGGGCATGCCCCCCAGGAAAATTTTTGAATTTAGAGTCTCTGAAATGCCATTTCCTGGACTTTGGGGGAAGATTTGACAGAAATCTGATGGTCAGGAAACGGCATTACAACGTGTCGAAATTTGAAAATTGGTTAGAATTTAGTAGTAGCATTTAAATTGGGCAATGCTAACTACTTCCACAAATTAATCTAATCCCAATTCTATTCTCTACTGATCTGAATACATTTACAACTTACAGCTCTTTTATACAATAACACATGGACCCCACGCATATGCATTTTAAGGTTTCCTTGCCTGGCTGCCAATTTCTAGCCTGCGTAGCAGGCGGTATTCGCGGGCACGAGAGAATGGGAAGCTTGAAATACCGCCTGCCCAAAAACTACACATTCTGAGTTCTCCCCGGCAGCTGGGTGCCGGAGCATTCTGATTGGTAGCCTGCGTAGCAGGCGGTATCTGATTGGTCAGAATGTTGATTTTGAATTTTGATTGACAGGAGTACAGAATTAGAATAATTAGTGCTAATTTTAGAAGTTACTGTTGCCGTATTTATAATATAAACTATTGTTATTTTCATAATTGTACCGATATATCGAGTGATGGCATACACTAACCAAAAGATAACGAATGTATTAATTGAGAATTAAGCGATAAATTCTTTAATCTTTATCTGGAATCGGAAATCGCTTCGTCTTGAAGAATGAACAACGAATATCAATCCAACATTTGTTGCTTGAAGATGTGATACCGTGATAAAAGTGCAGATTTGAAGATACAGGCTCGTAAATGACACTCTAAGTCGTGTTTTTGATAGCGATTGGAACAAGCCTATTACAAAGTTACGTCTGAAGGGGCCGAAGTTGTGTTCGGCGAAAGGTATGGCTAGTCTATATTTTTGTTCAGACAATTGCGTAATTTGATAATACACGAACTCGCTTGACTTTCAAAGCTCATAAATCGCTATAATGTTGACATCGACTAAAACTATCGCTATGAATGAGGACATATTGTTACACTGAATCGAACGTGGTATTTTTGTCTTCATAGCATTGAATGAACCGAAGATATGAAACGCCAAAGTCGTATATTTGCACTGGTGTAAATACGTGAGTCAAATAATTAAAATAAATACATTACTGTAAGATGGGCGGGACCATGCGGTGGGCGGAACTCAGAATGTGTAGTTTTTGGGCAGGCGGTATTTCTAGCTTCTACCGCCTGCTACGCAGGCTAGCCAATTTCTTGCGCAAACAATTAAATTGCGTACACAACTTTACATTATCATACTTCAACTATCTAATTTGCGCCGCTCTCGTGATTCGTGAAGCATAATAAAGGGCATAATATAAGGGTATAATACCAGCAAAAAAGGGCATAATTCCCGTGATCGCTTCGAAGCCTGATCAATATTCCGTTAATGAGACATTGCGTGTGATCACTGATCATGTTTCTATATGAACGAGTGATTTCGTGTGAGTCGTGAGGTAGCAAATACGGTTAGACAAAATAGTCTGCAATTTAATATACTCACTTTGTCGCCTATGCCCTTAGTCTGTTTATAAGTCTATAAACACATCTTTCCTTGTCGGAATTAGCAACTATATTTTTTCGAATGCGTTTCTTCCCACCTACTTTCAAAATCCGGCGCGGGATCGGCGCCCCCTTTTCATTTTGCGCCCCCCAAAAATTGCCAGCTGGGGGGGCCGTGGCCCCCCGGCCCCCCCTGCCAGCACGCCACTGTTCGTTCGACCGTCGACCTCGACTTTCGACCCTCGACGTATGACCCTCGACCCTAGATGTATGAATCTCGACCCTGGACAATTACCCAAACTCGAAAGTTTTTAGTGTTTTTTGTTTATAAATACAATGTTTTTATAAGATAAGTGTAGTCAAAACATGCCATATTTACGGAAGCCGTGAAGGGACTTCAGACTTCAGACTTCGGACTTCAGACTTCAAACATTGGTTTTCAGTCAAAGGCAAAGCTATTCAAACTAAAGTTTAAAATGGTCAGAATGATTTAGATTGTAAATGCAGACTGATGGAATGTGTCAGTGAGTTCTGACAGTTCTTTGCAGGTTTAAGGGCGGACCATTTGATTTTTGAGGGGGGAGGTGGAAGATTCAGTCTGTGCAAGAATTTTTTTTCCGCCCAGGCGAACGAGACAGATATTTTTTTCCTGTGAAAGTGCAGCGCAAGATATTTTTTTCCCAATATATTTGGCCGCAGGATATTTTTTTTGCCTCTCATAATAACGGCTTACAGTAACTTTAGGCTTTCATATAGCTATCATCGGAGACGTAGCAGGGGTTTTCAGTCAGAGGAGGCCGAGAACTGAATCCCAAGAGGGGCCAAGGAATTTTCACTGTGCTTTATTTTATATGGTTATGTCTTAATGTTCCCCACACTAAAGCGTGCAAGTTTACTTACAAAGAATGTATAACTGCACCAAAACCTAAAACATGCAGGGATAGAGCAGAGTACTCGAAAATGGGGGAGGGTACAGTATATGAATGACCTGTAACCTTGGGGGGTTCTCCCCCGAGAAAATTTTAAAATTTGAACCTCGGAAATGCTATTTCCTGCGTTTTCAGCCATGGATAATTATCTTAAGCCCAGATTTTCTCAGGGGGGGGGGCAACAATTTTGCCAGGGAACACCACTGGCTATCGTATGTCAGAGGCTCCAAAGGCGGTAGAATCCCTGTGATGTTATCCACTGTTCACCCCGTGTTCTTTTAAGCAAATGTGCCTGCTCAAAAATGCAAAATCTTGCAAGCCTGTGGACACAATACTGAAGTGAAGGCATCAGTAGAGTTACATGTAGAAAATTTCTTTTTGAGCGCTCTCTTTTGCATGATATTTTTTTTTCTCGATTGTGTGCTGCATGATTTTTTTTTTCTTTCTCCTTGGGTTGCAGGAAATTTTTTTTCGAAATCTTCCCCCTTCCCCTTCAAAAGTCAAATGGTCCGCCCCTAAAGGCAGAACGATAAAACAAATAATACTATTGTTTGTAGAAACACCACGTAAATTTATTACTGCAGTAAATTTATTAACTTTATTCTGTAAATTTATCAAGTTAAGTATAACACGCGCTCAAAACTAATGCGTATAATATACCACTTGAGGTTCTTGAGGTTATGACTAAATTCAAAATTTTTATTTTTCGATACGTTTCTCAATCGCCAAACAAACTTAAAAAGTATGTTTAGTGCTTTATCTGTAAAATAATGCTAAAATGAAGATTTTAGATGATACGCCAAAGAGAAAATGATGTCTGAAGTTCAGTAAATTTTGCTTATATGGCTGTATAAATATATGGCGTAAATTTTAAAGCATCATTGATAATTGTATTTTAATTGACAATTTTGTGACTATGATTTTATGTTTCTCAACCGGCAGATGCATTTAAAAAAGTAGCTAACTGTATAAACTAAAGAATAAAGCAAAAACAAAGTGATTCTAAGACTAAGAGGAGGAACGCAAAAGCAATGTTGGCTATTAGCGAAGCTCGGAACCAATGTTTGAAGTCTGAAGTCTGAAGTTTGAAGACCCGGCGAAGTCTGAAGTCTGAAGTCTCTTCACGGCTTCCGTACATATTTGATATGCTCTTACGTTGTTTATAAAGATTTAGGAGGGTCATACAAACGTGTTTAGTCATTTTGGTATTTTATAATTTGGTACTGAAAAAGTCTTGTAGTATGGAAAATCGACAGGAAACCACGCGAAATCTAAATTATTTGAAAAACGCGCTAACTAGCGGCGACGTCAACAGAATAAGTGCTATATGTCGAGAGATGAAAATTAAGTATGATGTAGCCGACCAGCTCAGAAAGCATCATGCAAATATGGACTTCGCTGAACGTTTGCCGAACGATATGTACTCGCAGTCATTAATACCAGGTGACGTTCCATGTCGTTTAACTGCAAAACGTGCACGTGCAAACGGAAGTTGTTT